TATTTATATTTTATTTATACTTATATTTTTATATTTTATATTCTAAATATTTCTTTTTTTTTTTTACATCTTTATCGGAGTATAATTGCTTTACAATGGTGTGTTAGTTTCTGCTTTATAACAAAGTGAGTCAGCCATACATATACATATGTTCCCATATCTCTTCCCTCTTGCATCTCCCTCCCTCCCACCCTCCCTATCCCACCCCTCCAGGCAGTCACAAAGCACCCAGCTGATCTCCCTGTGCTATGCGGCTGCTTCCCACTAGCTATCTACCTTACGTTTGGTAGTGTATATATGTCCATGCCTCTCTCTCGCTTTGTCACAGCTTACCCTTCCCCCTCCCCATATCCTCAAGTCCGTTCTCTAGTAGGTCTGTGTCTTTATTCCTGTCTTACCCCTAGGTTCTTCATGACATTTTTTTTCTTAAATTCCATATATATGTGTTAGCATACGGTATTTGCCTTTCTCTTTCTGACTTACTTCACTCTGTATGACAAACTCTAGGTCTATTCACCTCATTACAAATTGCTCAATTTCGTTTTTTTTTATGGCTGAGTAATATTCCATTGTATATATGTGCCACATCTTCTTTATCCATTCATCCAATGATGGACACTTAGGTTGTTTCCATCTCCGGGCTATTGTAAATAGAGCTGCAGTGAACATTTTGGTACATGACTCTTTTTGAATTATGGTTTTTCTCAGGGTATATGCCCAGTAGTGGAATTGCTGGGTCATATGGTAGTTCTATTTGTAGTTTTTTAAGAAACCTCCATACTGTTCTCCGTAGTGGCTGTACCAATTCACATTCCCACCAGCAGTGCAAGAGTGTTCCCTTTTCTCCACACCCTCTCTAGCATTTATTGTTTCTAGATTTTTTGATCATGGCCATTCTGACCGGTGTGAGATGATATCTCATTGTAGTTTTGATTTGCATTTCTCTAATGATGAATGATGTTGAGCATTCTTTCATGTGTTTGTTGGCAATCTGTACATCTTCTTTAGAGAAATGTCTGTTTAGGTCTTCTGCCCATTTTTGGATTGGGTGGTTTGTTTTTTTGATGTTGAGCTGCATGAGCTGCTTGTAAATTTTGGAGATTAATCCTTTGTCAGTTGCTTCATTTGCAAATATTTTCTCCCATTCTGAGGGTTGTCTTTTGGTCTTGTTCATGGTTTCCTTTGCTGTGCAAAAGCTTTGAAGTTTCATTAGGTCCCATTTGTTTATTTTTATTTCCATTTCTCTAGGAGGTGGGTCAAAAAGGATCTTGCTGTGATTTATGTCATAGAGTGTTCTGCCTATGTTTTCCTCTAAGAGTTTGATAGTTTCTGGCCTTACATTTAGGTCTTTAATCCATTTTGAGCTTATTTTTGTGTATGGTGTTAGGGAGTGTTCTAATCTCATACTTTTACATGTACCTGTCCAGTTTTCGCAGCACCACTTATTGAAGAGGCTGTCCTTTCTCCACTGTACATTCCTGCCTCCTTTATCAAAGATAAGGTGACCCTATGTGCATGGGTTTATCTCTGGGCTTTCTATCCTTTTCCATTGATCTGTATTTCTGTTTTTGTGCCAGTACCATACTGTCTTGATTACTGTAGCTTTGTAGTGTAGTCTGAAGTCAGGGAGCCTGGCAGGCAGATTCTTAACCACTGCGCCAGTAGGGAAGCCCCTATACTGATTGATTTTTGAAGGTTAAACCAGTCCTGCATTCCTGCAGGAATGCAGGAATTATTATTATATTACTATTATGCTCAGCAGAATAATATGCAATCATAAAAAATAATATAAGCTAATAATATGCTGATGTGAAACTATCTCTGTGACATAATATTAAATGGAAGGGTGCAGAAAGGAGCATGTATTATTTTAATATTTTATAAATAGTAGGAAATATATATATTTATTAGCTTACATGTACATAAAGTATCCTGGAAAAATATAAAAGGCTTGATATCATTGGTTGTCTCTGAGAAGGGAAATGAATGACAGGGCACTGGGGTTAAAGAATTCTTAAGATATACTCTTCTGTATCTTTTATATTTTGAGTTACGTGATTTTAATACCTGGTAAATATTTCTCTGACAATACTTGGTAGATATCTTTTCATGTCAGGCAAAACAAAGCTATATAATTTTTTAAGTGGCTGAATGATACTACCTAGTTGGATTTACCATATTTAACCAACTCTCCGCTGATGAAAACTTAGAATGTTTCTAATTTTTCACTATTGTAAATATCATTGCAGTGACTGTCTTTGGATATATTTTTGCATACATGTACAAGTTTTCTTTTTTAAATTATTTTTTAATTTTTGGCTGTGTTGGGTCTTCGTTGCTGGGCACGGGCTTTCTCTAGTCGCAGTGAGCAGGGCCTACTCTTCATTGTGGTGCACGGGCTTCTCATTGCGGTGGCTTCTCCTGTTGCGGAGCATGGGCTCTAGAGTGCAGGCTCAATAGTTGTGGCACACGCACAGGCTTAGTTGCTCCGTGGCATGTGGGATCTTCCCGGACCAGAGCTCGAACCCGTGTCTCCTGCATTGGCAGGTGGATTCTTAACCACTGCGTCACTAGGGAAGTCCTGTGCAAGTATTTTTGAGCAATAAATTCTTACAGTTATTAGGATAAAAAATACACATATTAAATTTTGATTGTTATAGCTATTTAAATATTTAGTTCATCTTTTTGTTGTTATTTGTAAAAAGTCTCTGATAGCTCTAGATTTTAGTTGCCCAAAACATTTTTCCTTTCCCCAATTTTCAGTTGCAGAACTCTTCTTCCTTGTAAAGAATCTATTTCATGTGTTTGGGGAGGGGCTAATTTCCCTTTTCCCAGTTACAGAAATGGGCATGTGACTCAGCCAATCAGAGTATTCCATTCATGCATCTAGAATGATTTGTTCATATATGGACATGTGAGAACCATGTTGAACCAGTGAAAATCATCCCTAATGTGTTTTACAGTAACAGTGGAGATAGATAGTGCCCTTTTCTCTGAGGTTCCTGACATTCCAATACAAGAACCTGGAATCATCAGTGGTCATCCTTGCTACCTAGAAATGAGACAGACTGACAGAAAGGTGTTACTAAGAGGTAGATGATAGATAGATAGATAGATAGGAAAATAGATGATGCCTTGATGACACGGTTTGAACTGAATTTGCTTGCCTGAAGACTCATGCACAAATGACTACTAATACATTTCCTTTTGTTGCTTCCACTGGTTCTAGTGGGTTTCTGTCATTTACAATCAAGATTCCTGGGTGAATAGTCTAGTTCTCTGTCGGTTGTATGTATTACAGATGTTTTCTCCAGTATGCTGCTTTGTCTTTTGACTTTATTTGTGGTGTTTTTGGCTGTACAGGAATTTTTAAAAATTTTACACGGTGAATCTGTTCATCTTTTCTCTTGGGTTTCATTTCCTACTTAAAAAGATCCTTCTCATTCTGAATTTTTATTAAGACCCATTTATCTCTTTATATTTTCAATTTTGACCTTTAGGAATCTGGAAATTAATTGTTGTGTGTGGTGTGAGGCAGATACAGATCCTGTTTTTTTAAGTAGAGTAATACATTATTTCAGTGTGTACATATACACATATACCTGTCAAAATGATTATCTCTTGTTCATTGTGTGGTGGCATTACAACAGAGATTTTGTTTTCCTCTTAGGTTTAGTTCCATTTTCAAATATTTCTGTAATGTATGCCTTTTTAAAAAAATTTATTTATTTTAGGCTGCATTGGGTCTTCGTTGCTGCACGCAAGCTTTCTCTAGTTACAGCGAGCAATGGCTTCTCTTGTTGCAGAGCATGGGCTCTAGGGCGCGCGGGCTTCAGTAGTTGTGGTGCACAGGCTCAGTAGTTGTGGCTCGCAGGCCCTAGAGCGCAGGCTCAGTAGTTGTGGCGCACGGGCTTAGTTGCTCCGCGGCATGTGGGATCTTCCTCGACCAGGGCTCGATCCCGTGTCCCCTGCATGGGCAGGCGGATTCTTAACCACTGCGCCACCAGGGAAGCCCCTCTATAATGTACGTCTTACTTTCATATTTAAGAAACACACTGTAAGTTATTTTTTTAAAGATCTGTAAGAGATCACTTAGATTCGAGGTTTGTACTGAACATGAAGAAATAGCGAGATTGAGCGCTAAGTATGTTTCATGTTTGTCCAAATGTCTGGGTATATTTGTTTCTCTGCAGTGTCTCTAAGATATTGTAATTTCCCATGAACCCTATTCTTTCCTGTTTATTCTTATTTCAATGTGACACCACCCAGTTACTCAAACCAAGAAACAACATTTTTTTAAATAAAAAATAAATATACTTTTCCTCCAAGAAATATTTCAGGAACAAGTGTAAGCATTAGTAGGCTATATGCCACTAGGATTTAGTGAATTAGGATTTATTTTTTTAAATCTTGTTTCACAATTATGGGTATATTACATTTTTAATGAATTTATTATCATGCTATAAATATTCCCTTCTGGATTACATGTGTGATATGGTAGTTACTTCTCCTACATTAATAATTTTATTCTTTTGCTGGAGAATACCTTGTATACTTCTCAGGCAAGGTTTTCCTATTTCTGCTTAAAACTGAATTAATTCTCAAGGAGAAGAATACAGGCATCCCAATTTATTGAATTCATTAGTCAGAAAAATTATTTTGCCTGGCTTATTTTTTTTATTTAAATGGTATTATTACATGAAATGCACAAACTGACATAAAATGTATTTTCTGACATTCTCTAATGATACGATAGTTGTATAAATTTAAGTCGTTTCATTTCATGAGGTTTCATTAGCAATGACATTTTAGATTTAAGTTACCTGCACATAAAAGATATGCCATATATGAAACAATTCTATGCCTTTCTAAAATTGTTTGTTATCTCAAAACGCTCTTTTACCTTCCTCTTACTAAATACTAATTCTTAAAGCCTCAAGTTCTACTGTATCCACTGTATCCATATGTTGCTTTGCAATGTAATTTTGTACATTTTACTTTATTTTCTTGCCAGGCTATCACTGAAAGCCTGCTGAGTGCTGGCACTAGCCTGTGGAATTATGAGATGGCAGTCCGGGTAACTGAAAAATTGTACCAGTTTTCTTAGAGCCTGGGTAATGAATTCAAACAACTAAATATAGTACTGGAATTAATCTTTTATTCCCCAGAGCAATCCACAGTTGAGATGGTTGGCACTGGACAAATTTCCACAGAAATGCACAAATATTGAGAACTTGGGTACATGACTTTGAATCCATATGAGGCCCAAACCCCACTGAGGACTTTGATTACTATCTTACCCTGAGAATGAATGCATAAAAAGGCCAATTGTAAGAGAAATACTTTTTGCAAAGGATTCTAACATTTTTCTTTTTATAGTAAACATACTCTGAAAGAAATTTTCTAGGTCTTCTTTGAAATCCCCGAAGACCTTTTTACTAATCATTCTTAAGGAAATATTCTGCAAAGATTCCCTAACAATCGCAGACTTTCATTAGGAGCTAGGATTACAAAGAGGATTCACATGAGAAGACACTTATCTTCCACACAGAACCTGTGCTCTCAAAGACATGAATGATTATATACGTAAACTTTAATGGCTTTTAAAGTGGGACTCATAAATCACTGTATGATTCATCAACTCGGGATTTAGAGATATTCTTTCACCAGGAACATTATTGAAAACAAAATTGCTTTCCTTTACTTTTCTGTAGCAGGAAGAGGAACAGACATAAAATATAACAGGAAACTGTGTTACTCCAAAAATATTGCAGGATCGGATGATGCGAAAACCTTCACCGAACATTGGACCGTGACACCATTCACATCGGGATGTGCTGCAATGAAGGAAACATCAGATCTACTAAAGGAAAGACATTTTGCTCGATGCTCTGTAAGACTCAAAGTAGTATAAAATATGGCCTTTCTCATTATCGATCTTACCATCTCCTTGAGGAGCTAAGACATACGCAAGTGTAAAACTAAATGCTAAAAAATAGATATGTGTGTATAAAATAATCCTAGTTCTCTAAAACAAAAAAGGTATAGATTCATAGTAAGAAAACACCCTAAGGACAAATCCCAAATGGAAGACAGTAATTATCCTTGGACCTATTCTCCTATGTGATCACAGGGAATTTTAAATTTCTTCATAATGTTTTTCTGTATTTCCCAAATTTTCTATAATAAATACATATTATTTTTATAACTCAAAATAAATATATCATTTTAAAAATAAAGGGACTGTTGTAACCTAGCGTAGGATTAGTGTCCATGTGTATTTTTAAGTGCTCACAAATCAGTTAAAAAAAGACATCAGCCCGTTAGTATATTAAGAGTAGCACATGAATGGACTATTCACAGAAGATGAAACTTGAACATCCAGAGAACATTGAAAAGTAAAGCTTCTCAATTTCGTTAGTAATCAGGGAATACAAAACAAAATAACAAAAGAATACCATTTCATAAATCATCAGATGGGCAAAATGTAAAAGTCTGATAGTGCAAAGTTTGGTGAGGATACATATAAATTGGTGGAGTATAAATTGGTGTAATCACTTTGGAGCAACTTGGCAATTTCTGCTTAGGTTGAAGATGTACATACTCATAGAAAGAGTAGAGTGATGGTTGCCAGGGGCTGGGGGAAGAGGGAAACGGAGACGTGTAGGTCAAAGGGTACAAACTTTCAGTTATAAGGTGAATACATTCTAAGGATCTAATGTACAACATGGTGACTATAGTTAATGTGGTATTATATACTTGAAATTTGCTAAAAGTAAACCTTGAATGTTTTCACCTCATAAAACAAGAGTTAACTATATGAGGCAATGGATGTGTTAATTAATATTATCTTTGTAATCATTTCATGATGTGTATGTATATCAAATAATCCTATTGTACAATTTAAATATATACAATATTGTAAAAAAAAAAAAAAAAAAGACAAAAAACAAGCCTCCTCTGGCCAGGAATTGTAAGAGAGGAAAAATATCTTTTCCTCTACACATCTTAGGTTCATTGGCTGGGGCCCTGGAAATTAAATTTGTCAGTTTAAACTTGTCAGACAGATTAGCAAGAGAAAAAAAACAGTTTAATTATGTACACATACATGGGACTTTCTCAAAGAAATGAGACTCAAAGAAGCAGTCAAATGATTGAGGCTTATATACCATCTTAGGCTAAACAAAGGAAAAGGGGATTTGGGCTTCTGGGCTGAGAAGCCCAGTTATGGGAAGGCAAAGGGTGGAAATATATGGTAAATAAGGGTTGTCTTGTTATACAGCTAAGAGTCTTTCAGGTGATAAGAGTTGTCTCCTGAAGTAGTTCTCTTCCTGGTGTGAAAACATTTTACAAATGGAAATTTCCAAAAGGGGAAATTTATGTTCTATTTTAAGGTAGTTACTGGGTGGTAAAGAGCTTTTCCTGCATCTGCTAGATCTCAGTTGCCTTAAGCTCAAAATAATACCTATGTGAAAGAAGCATATTTTGGGGTGGCATATTCTGGTAGCCTTAAGAAAGTGGAAAAATTCAGAAGGTCCAATATTTGCTATAGTCCCAGAAAGAGCACAGAAAAATAGAAGATAGAATTTTCGAAGTAATAGTGTAAGAAAATTTCTCAGAATTAAAATACATGAGTTTCCAGATTGAAAGGATACATCAAGTACTGAACACATTGAGTTAAAAAAAAAAAAACTCACAAAGGCACATCATCATGAAAATTTTAAACAACTAGCAAAAAAAAGAGAAGATTCAAAAAGCTTCCCCTTCCAAAAAAAAGGTATAGGTTATATATAAAGCATAAGGAATAAGAAAGCTGTAGATCTCAAATAAAAAATAGAAAAGTAGAAGATGATGAAGCAATGTCTCCAAAATCCTGAAGAAAATGATTGAACCCAGAGTTTTATACCCAGCCAAATTATCAATCAAGTCTGAGTGCAGAATAAAGACATATTCAAATACGCATGGTCTTAAATTTTTATTTCCATGCATTCTTTTGCAGGGAGACACTGGAGGGCTGGCTTCACCAAAATGTGGAGGTAAACAAAGAACAAGGTATTCAATGTGACTATAGTAAAGGAAATTCCAAGATAATAGTGAAGGGAAGTCTTGGAATAACAGTTGTGCACCAGATCTAGACAGCAACATTTCTAGATTAGGGCAGAAAGACACAGGGCTCCAGGATGATGTATTAAAAAAAATTAATAGGACTGATAGCCATATCTGATACATTCATACTGATAAAGATTTAAATAATTCTATTAGAATTTTCATGGCAGAATTAATGATAAACACATAAAGCAAAGTAAATGAATAAAAGTCAATTACTCTTTCTAGGAAAAACAAAAAGTTGTACAGTAAAAGAAATATATTCATAGTACACTGTGTAGCCTAACTATGCATTACTTAGATTTTATAATTAAATAATAATTATTGATTTAACTTAAAATCATTATTTTACTCGAGAAGTATTAATCATTATGTCACCAGAACTATCCTAGGTACTGGAGATAACATTAATGAACAAAACTATCATGTATTCTTCTCTTCATGGAGTTTACATACTAGAGGACCAGCCTGATATTAAATAAAATAATTAGATAAAATATAAAATGAGGTGATGGTAAGTGCTACAGAGAAAAATTAAAGCAATGAAGGGGGAGGAATAAGGAGTGCCAGTAATGTGAGGCATAGGATGCTTGAACTTCTAAACATTCTGTAAATAACTATATTGTGAGGTTGGAGGAAGAAGACAGGTATATATGAGGGCTGATAAGAGTCCTAATACCTATCTTGCTTAGTAGGAAATTTAGAGATGATAGCTAAAATTGAAAAAACAAGAAGAATGACTCAAGGATGCTATTTAAAAATATAGAGGCAGCTCCAAAATAAATCCTCATATATATGGTCAAATGATTTTCAGTAAGTGTGCCAAGACAATTCAGTGGGGAAAGGACAGTCTTTTCAACAAATGGTCCTGGGAAAACTGAATCTCCCACATTAAAAAAATGAAGTTGGACCCTTACTCACACCATATCCAAAAATTTACTCAAACTGGATCAAAAACCTAACTGTAAGAGCTAAAGCTATGAAACTCTTAGAAAAAAATATAGGGGAGGGACTTCCAGGTGGGGCAGTGGTTAAGAATCTAACTGCCGATGCAGGGGACACGGGTTTGAGCCCTGGTCCGGGAGGATCCCACATGCCACGGAGCAGCTAAGCCCGTGCGCCACAACTACTGAGGCTGCGTTCTAGAGCCCGCCAGCCACAACTACTGAAGCCCGCGTGCCTAGAGCCCGTGCTCTGCAACAAGAGAAGCCACTGCAATGAGAAACCCACGCACCGCAACAAAGAGTAGCCCCCACTCGCCGCAACTAGAGAAAGCCTGCGCACAGCAACAAAGAACCAAAGCAGCCAAAAATAAATAAATTAATTAAAAAATATATATATATATGGGGAAAAGCTTCATGACATTAGATTTGGTAATAACTTCTTGTAAATGACACCAAAAGCACAGGAAACAAAAGAAAAAATAGATTAAGTTGTACTTCAGCAAAATTAAAAACTTTTGTTCATTAAAGGACACCATCAACAGTGGGAAAAGGCAACTGACTGAATGGGGGAAAATATTTGTAAATTGTATTTTAAAGGGGGTTAATATCCAAAATATATAAGCAACTACAACTTGACAAGAGAAAACACAAACAATCCAATTTAAAAATAGGCAAAGGACCTGAATAGACATTTCTTCAAAGAAGATACACGGATGGCCAAAAAGCACATGAAAGGATACTCAGCATCACTGATAATTAGAGAAATGCAGTGAGAACCACGGTGAGATCCCACCTCACACCCATTAGGATGGCCAATATAAAAAACAAAAACAGAAGCAAAACAGAACATAAGTGTTGGAGAGGATGTGAAGAAATTGGAACTCTGTGCGCTGCTGGTGGGAATGTAGAATGGTGCAGCCTCTATAAAAAGCAGTGTTGCTGTTCCTCAGAAAATTAAAAATTCAATTACCATATAATACAGCAATTTCACTTCTGGAAATAGAAGAAAAATGGAAAGCAGGTATTTGTACAACCATGTTCATAGCAGTATTCACAATAGCCAAAAGGTGGCAGCAATGCAAATGTCCTTCAACAGATGAATGGATAAACAAAATGTGGTGTATCCGTACAATGGAATATTATTCAACTTTTAAAAGGAAGGAAATTCTGACACATGCTACAGCATGGATGAACCTTGAGGACATCATGTTAAGTGAAATAAGCTCATCACAAAAACAGACTAATATCGCATGATTCCACTTATATGGGGTGTTTCTGGAGTCGTCAAACTCATAGAGACAAAGTAGAAGGCTGTTTTCCACGGGCTAGGGGGAGGGGGAAGTGGGGAGTTGTTCTTTTATGGGTATAAAGACCGATTCCAGTTTTGCCAAGTTGAAAAGACTTCTGGAGATTGGATGCACAGAAATAAAAATGTGCTGATTGGTAAACAGTACACTTTAAAATGACCAAGATGGTAAATTCTGTGTCATGTGTGTTTTACCACAATTGAAAATAAAATTTAAAAAATGTGAGAGCAAACACCCAGGGGAGAACTGCAAAAAGAGTTTGGCAATAGGTGACTCTGGAGGTAAAGAGTGAAGGGGGATAGAGATGCGGGCAGGGGTGATTTTCATGGAAAGACCTGTAGTAAACATTTGATCTTTTAAACTAAATACTTGTGTTGATAAAAGATAAAATTATTTTAAAGAGAAGAAAATTTGGTTGAGCAGGTCACCTAAACTCTTGAGGAATGTCATCTTCAGAATAAGGGAGTTTAGTGGCCTGAG